TCCGTGTTAACTGGAAGAAGTCGTCTTGTTCAACTTCCTAGTGTAGTCTTCTAAGGATTTGGTCTCGAATGAAGTTTTTCCGTTCTTCTGAATTTTTCGAGGTCTTCTTCGTCAATTCGGTCATGGCTTTCTAGTCTTTCAAAGTGATAGATAGAAGAATTCGTCTTAGAATAGTTTTTCAACGAGGGGAGCTTTCAAAGATCAGGAAGAACTGGAGAGTTATGAGATGGTTCAAGCTTCGTGGTTGAGATTTTTGTTGACTGGGACGTCTTCTTCTTGCGTTTTTGTAGTCTCAGAAGGTCCATCAGAAATTTCTACTTGAAAGTTCGGCATGTCCTCTGGAGTTGTGGGTGTTCGCTCCGTGTTAACTGGAAGAAGTCGTCTTGTTCAACTTCCTACTGTAGTCTTCTAAAGATTTGGTCTCGAATAAAGTTTTCCATTCTTCTGATATTTTTCGAAGTCTTCTTCGTCAATTCAATCATGGCTTTCGAGTCTTTCAAAGTGGTAAATGGAAGAATTCGTCTTAGAATAGTTTTCAACGAGGGGAGCTTTCAAAGATCAGGAAGAACTGGATAGTTAGGAGATGGTTCAAGCTTCATGGTTGAGATTTTGTTGACTGGGACGTCTTCTTCTTGCGTTTTTGTAGTCTCAGAAGGTCCATCAGAAATTTCTACTTGAAAGTTCGGCATGTCCTCTGGAGTTGTGGGTGTTCGCTCCGTGTTAACTGGAAGAAGTCGGCTTGTTCAACTTCCTACTGTAGTCTTCTAAGAATTTGGTCTCGAATAAAGTTTTCCGTTCTTCTGAATTTTCGAGGTCTTTTTCGTCAATTCAGTCATGGCTTTCGAGTCTTTCAAAGTGTAGATGGAAGAATTCGTCTTAGAATAACTTTCAACGAGGGGAGCTTTCAAAGATTAGGAAGAACTGGAGAGTTATGAGATGGTTCAAGCTTCGTAGTTGAGATTTTATTGACTGAGAAGTCTTCTTCTCGCGTTTTTGTAGTCTTAAAAGGTCCAACAGAAAATTCTGTTAGAAAGTTCGGCATGTCCTCTGGAGTTGTGGGTATTCGCTCCTTGTCAACTGGAAGAAGTCGTCTTGTTCAACTTCCTAGTGTAGTCTTCTAAGGATTTGGTCTCGAATGAAGTTTCCCGTTCTTCTGATATTTTTTCGAGGTCTTTTTCGTCAATTCAGTCATGGCTTTCGAGTCTTTCAAAAGTGGTAGATGGAAGAATTCGTATCAGAATAGTTTTTCAACGAGGGAGCTTTCAAAGATTAGGAAGAACTGGAGAGTTATGAGATGGTTCAAGCTTCGTAGTTGAGATTTTTGTTGACTGAGAAGTCTTCTTCTCGCGTTTTTTTGTAGTCTTAAAAGGTCCATCAGAAAATTCTGTTAGAAAGTTCGGCATGTCCTCTGGAGTTGTGGGTATTCGCTCCTTGTCAACTGGAAGAAGTCGTCTTGTTCAACTTCCTAGTGTAGTCTTCTAAGGATTTGGTCTCGAAATGAAGTTTCCCGTTCTTCTGATATTTTTTTCGAGGTCTTTTTCGTCAATTCAGTCATGGCTTTTCGAGTCTTTCAAAGTGTAGATGGAAGAATTCGTCTTAGAATAACTTTCAACGAGGGGAGCTTTCAAAGATTAGGGAAGAACTGGAGAGTTATGAGATGGTTCAAGCTTCGTAGTTGAGATTTTTGTTGACTGAGAAGTCTTCTTCTCGCGTTTTTGTAGTCTTAAAAGGTCCAACAGAAAAATTCTGTTAGAAAGTTCGGCATGTCCTCTGGAGTTGTGGGTATTCGCTCCTTGTCAACTGGAAGAAGTCGTCTTGTTCAACTTCCTAGTGTAGTCTTCTAAGGATTTGGTCTCGAAATGAAGTTTCCCGTTCTTCTGATATTTTTTTCGAGGTCTTTTTCGTCAATTCAGTCATGGCTTTCGAGTCTTTCAAAGTGGCAGATGGAAGAATTCGTTTGAGAATAGTTTTTCAACGAGGGGAGCTTTCAAAGATTAGGAAGAACTGGAGAGTTATGAGATGGTTCAAGCTTCGTAGTTGAGATTTTGTTGACTGAGAAGTCTTCTTCTCGCGTTTTTTTGTAGTCTTAAAAGGTCCAACAGAAAATTCTGTTAGAAAGTTCGGCATGTCCTCTGGAGTTGTGGGTATTCGCTCCTTGTCAACTGGAAAAAGTCGTCTTGTTTAACTTCCTACTGTAGTCTTCTAAGGATTTGGTCTCGAATGAAGTTTCCCTGTTCTTCTGATATTTTTTTCGAGGTCTTTTTCGTCAATTCAGTCATGGCTTTCGAGTCTTTCAAAGTGTAAATGGAAGAATTCTGTCTTAGAATAACTTTCAACGAGGGGAGCTTTCAAAGATTAGGAAGAACTGGAGAGTTATGAGATGGTTCAAGCTTCTGTAGTTGAGATTTTGTTGACTGAGAAGTCTTCTTCTCGCGTTTTTGTAGTCTTAAAAGGTCCAACAGAAAATTCTGTTAGAAAGTTCGGCATGTCCTCTGAGTTGTGGGTATTCGCTCCTTGTCAACTGGAAGAAGTCGTCTTGTTCAACTTCCTAGTGTAGTCTTCTAAGGATTTGGTCTCGAATGAAGTTTCCCGTTCTTCTGATATTTTTCGAGGTCTTTTTCGTCAATTCAGTCATGGCTTTCGAGTCTTTCAAAGTGTAAATGGAAGAATTCGTCTTAGAATAACTTTCAACGAGGGGAGCTTTCAAAGATTAGGAAGAACTGGAGAGTTATGAGATGGTTCAAGCTTCGTAGTTGAGATTTTGTTGACTGAGAAGTCTTCTTCTCGCGTTTTTGTAGTCTTAAAAGGTCCATCAGAAAATTCTGTTAGAAAGTTCGGCATGTCCTCTGGAGTTGTGGGTATTCGCTCCTTGTCAACTGGAAAAAGTCGTCTTGTTTAACTTCCTACTGTAGTCTTCTAAGGATTTGGTCTCGAATGAAGTTTCCCGTTCTTCTGATATTTTTCGAGGTCTTTTTCGTCAATTCAGTCATGGCTTTCGAGTCTTTCAAAGTGTAAATGGAAGAATTCGTCTTAGAATAACTTTCAACGAGGGGAGCTTTCAAAGATTAGGAAGAACTGGAGAGTTATGAGATGGTTCAAGCTTCGTAGTTGAGATTTTGTTGACTGAGAAGTCTTCTTCTCGCGTTTTTGTAGTCTTAAAAGGTCCATCAGAAAATTCTGTTAGAAAGTTCGGCATGTCCTCTGGAGTTGTGGGTATTCGCTCCTTGTCAACTGGAAGAAGTCGTCTTGTTCAACTTCCTAGTGTAGTCTTCTAAGGATTTGGTCTCGAATGAAGTTTCCCGTTCTTCTGATATTTTTCGAGGTCTTTTTCGTCAATTCAGTCATGGCTTTCGAGTCTTTCAAAGTGTAGATGGAAGAATTCGTCTTAGAATAACTTTCAACGAGGGGAGCTTTCAAAGATTAGGAAGAACTGGAGAGTTATGAGATGGTTCAAGCTTCTGTAGTTGAGATTTTTGTTGACTGAGAAGTCTTCTTCTCGCGTTTTTTTGTAGTCTTAAAAGGTCCATCAGAAAATTCTGTTAGAAAGTTCGGCATGTCCTCTGGAGTTGTGGGTGATCGCTCCGTGTCAACTGGAAGAAGTCGTCTTGTTCAACTTCCTACTGTAGTCTTCTAAGGATTTGGTCTCGAATGAAGTTTCCCGTTCTTCTGATATTTTTCGAGGTCTTTTTCGTCAATTCAGTCATGGCTTTCGAGTCTTTCAAAGTGTAGATGGAAGAATTCGTCTTAGAGTAGTTTTCAATGAGGGGAGCTCTCAAAGATTAGGAAGAACTGGAGAGTTATGAGATGGTTCAAGCTTCGTAGTTGAGATTTTGTTGACTGAGAAGTCTTCTTCTCGCGTTTTTGTAGTCTTAAAAGGTCCATCAGAAATTTCTACTTGAAAGTTCGGCATGTCCTCTGGAGTTGTGGGTGATCGCTCCGTGTCAACTGGAAGAAGTCGTCTTGTTCAACTTCCTAGTGTAGTCTTCTAAGGATTTGGTCTCGAATGAAGTTTCCCGTTCTTCTGATATTTTCGAGGTCTTTTTCGTCAATTCAGTCATGGCTTTCGAGTCTTTCAAAGTGTAAATGGAAGAATTCGTCTTAGAATAACTTTCAACGAGGGGAGCTTTCAAAGATTAGGAAGAACTGGAGAGTTATGAGATGGTTCAAGCTTCGTAGTTGAGATTTTGTTGACTGAGAAGTCTTCTTCTCGCGTTTTTTTGTAGTCTTAAAAAGGTCCATCAGAAAATTCTGTTAGAAAGTTCGGCATGTCCTCTGGAGTTGTGGGTATTCGCTCCTTGTCAACTGGAAAAAGTCGTCTTGTTTAACTTCCTAGTGTAGTCTTCTAAGGATTTGGTCTCGAATGAAGTTTCCCGTTCTTCTGATATTTTTCGAGGTCTTTTTCGTCAATTCAGTCATGGCTTTCGAGTCTTTCAAAGTGTAGATGGAAGAATTCGTCTTAGAATAACTTTCAACGAGGGGAGCTTTCAAAGATTAGGAAGAACTGGAGAGTTATGAGATGGTTCAAGCTTCGTAGTTGAGATTTTGTTGACTGGGACGTCCTCTTCTCGCGTTTTTGTAGTCTTAAAAGGTCCATCAGAAAATTCTGTTAGAAAGTTCGGCATGTCCTCTGGAGTTGTGGGTATTCGCTCCTTGTCAGCTGGAAGAAGTCGTCTTGTTCAACTTCCTAGTGTAGTCTTCCGCGGATACGGTCTTGATTAAAGATTCTGAAGTGATTCTGATCAAAGTTTTTGCTGGGTTCGTTTCTTTGACAGTCTCATCTGGTTGCCAGGAAGAGACCGAATTTGAGCTGTTTCCGAGAAGATTCTCTATGAATTTCGTGTTCTCGTTCATTCCTTCAACTTCTCACTCTGGATATTTTCATTTAGTTTTTTCCTCTGGTTCGTGATCCATTGAAAAGCCGTCGTTCGAGATTTGTTCGCGTCGTTCCCTACGGAACAACTCTTACTCAGAAAGCGTCTTGTAGGCTTCCGCCAGTTACGATGAGACCTTATTCGGTTGGAAAAGCTCGTTTCAACTTGCGTCGTGCTCAGAAGGAGACTTTTGAGCTTCAGATCCAGTGGCGTATGTCTCGAACTGGAAGAGAGAGGCGTCGGTTTGCTTGAATCCAAAGGAATCAACAGAAAAGAGTTTCCTTGAGGGCCACGAGACGTCTTGTCGCTGCCGAGACGTTTGAACGTTTCTGCCGCCTTATGCTCAGCTCGATGCTGAGAGTAGAAGCCACTCTGGCACAAGCAGCGGCGATGATCCGGGCTCAGTATCCGGAAGAAGCTCCTTCTTCGGAGATTTTGACGGAGGGTGCGTTTCTTTTCGAATGGAGTTACCACTCCATCGAAGAAATGAATCCGAAGTTCGATAGATTGATATTGCGATCTTCAGACCCCGAGGGTGCTCCCCAGGAGCCTCTGGAGGAGATCTGGCGTGCGGAGGATTTCCCTTAAGGAATTCTGTTTGGTCAGTTTGTAGCTGAAATCAGAATAATCATGGAGAATTGCAGTTGGCGTCTTTTTTCGGCCGTGTTGCCCTACTCGTCGTTTCTTCGTGCTGTTTGGTTTATTTTATTGTGTGACCTGTGAATAAAATATTGTGTTCAAACTTGTTGAGTTTCGGTGAAAAGAAGTGTGCTCCAACATGCACTCGATTATTTTAAAAATGGTTGTTGATAATAATTCTATTGAGAAGTGGTTGAGGTGCATTCATGGACGCTCAGATCCTTCGTCGTCAACAGGCCGTTTTCCGGGCCAACCTCAAGGTCCAACAGGCCGGTCAAGAGGTCGGCAAACTGAGCAAGTTCGCTTCTCGAGCCGAGGAGCGCGCCCGTGTCAAGCGGACTTTCCGAGGAGAATTCTTTCCGGGAGAAGAAGTCTTCGAGAACAGTCTTCCCCGGGAGATCGAGAAGCGAAGGACCAAGGCCGCGGTGGCTTCTGCTCTTCGAGCTTCTCGTTTTGCTCGGGTTCAGCTGGAGAAGTACCAGTCGCGTCTGGAGAAGGCTCTTCGTGACAAGGGCAACGAGGTGAAAAAGTCCCCGTGTGAAAATCTCATGGTGTTGTTCTTAGATTGTCGAAGAAGCCGAAGATGATGATGTTGAGGGCGACGCTTCCATCTGATTAATATTTTTTTCTAATGAACTCTGTGCCATTATTTTTCGCAATAAATCTTTTTTTCACGATTTATTGTTTCTCTCGTGGTTTGAATGCTGTCAAACTTCTGTGACTTACTTGCGAATTCTTTCTTTTCAAATGTTAGGCGATAATGTGAGACTTCAGACCTCTGAGTTATCTCATTTGCCTTTTTTTGATAAAGAAATTTTCTGAAGTCTCACAAGTGCACTCAGAAAGCATGATTCAGATGGAACTGCTCCGTCAAGAAGTGTCCGTGGCTCAAGAGAGACTTGCGTCTCACAGGCGCCAAGAAGACTTCTCCTTTAGGATGGCTTATTTCGGACTTCTCCGTGGTATCCTCAATCCGTCGCGAGCTCTTCCGCAGGTGGTCTTGGACGACCTGCTGGATCGCTTCCAAACCGCCAGAGAAGGCGTCATTTTTGCCGAGCGCCGATTGGCAGAAGCCCGTCGGCGTTTGTCCGAGTTTGAGTTGGTCGCCCAGGTAATTTAATTCAAACTTGCGTCGTGAAAAAGGAGTGGCTTCTGAACTGAAGTTACTTATCAATCAGCGAGATGAAACATTTTGGGAGTCACAGTCCTTTTATAGTTTTTGGCGAAGCTTCTAGAAATCGAATTTTCCTTTTTGATGAATGAAACTTTTAGCTCTGGGCCCTCCGCCAGTCTTTGGCCGACCAGTCCGACTCGGACTCTTCTGATCAAAGCGACGGCTCTCTTTTCGTGAGTTTCAACCCTTTCTCAAAAGATCTCAGAAAGCATATCTTAATTGAAATAAACTATAAAAATTTCAGTAAGGCCGTCTTCTCCTCCTTCTTGGGCGTCTCTTCTGTGTTTTTTTTTGCTTGTTGTTTTTTGATAAATTGTTTCTTTCTTTATACTGTGCTTTGCTCGAAAAATAATTCCTCTTGTTAATGGGGTTGTAATTTTACTTTAAAATGTTTCAAGGGCTTCCGGAAAGATACTCATATCTCATGTAGGAAAGAAAGTCTGATTTCTTCTTCCAAGTTAAAGCTTTGATAAAAGTTTGACTCCTGCCTCATGATAAATCTGAAAAAAATAATAAAAAATCCAGCTCGTTGAAACAGAATGGCGTAGAGATATTCCCACCAAAACATGACCGACACAAGTTTTTCTGCAGCAGCTCGTTGAATCTAGAGGTTAATTGTTTTAAGAAGCCTGTTTTTTTTCTGATTTTTTCAGATTCTCTTGGTTCATTTAAGAATTTCTCCACTTCTTTTCTTACTTCATACATTCCTTTGTAAATAAAGGCTTGAGAATAGGTTTCCACTTTTAATAATTTTCGGACCTGATTTTTTTCAGGCATCGAAGCTTTAAATTGACTTTGTTGCATCGGCTTTCAAATCTTCTCTTCAGGTTCAAGTTTTTCTGTCACAATTTTTCTTTGAATATTTCAGGTTCCAAGTTTTGCGTGGTTTCTGGACTTGGAAGCTCAGAATCTCAGGACATCAAAGGATCCAAAATTTTTGAAAAAAGTTTGCTTCCTTTATTTGTATATTCATGGCTCAAAGTTTCAGAATTGATTACGAGAACGACTGCAATAAATGTATAACAATGTTGCTGGACAAGGCAATCGAAATTTCGACGAAACGATTTAAGGTGAGAAAAAACGTCGTTCCCATGACTAATGTCTTTTTTAGGTAGCTCTGCTTCCCCGCACGATCACCACGTGAAGAACCATGATTACAGCTCCGCTCTGGAAATCTCTTTTTTGCTCAATAAATGATAAAAAATGTTGATCAACTGTTTTTTATTTGTTGTTGTTTGTTAAATTCTGTGAAATACTTGTGATTCAGAAAATATGAAAAAAACTTGAAAACAAAAAAATTTTCCACACAAGAAAGAACAAGGCTCTTATGAAACGTTTTGTGCGTTGAAAAAATAATCCACTCATAATTCCCTCTTCGTTCTGAAGTAACTACAAACTTAAAATGCTTCGAAATGGTTTCGAACCCTGAACTTTTTGAAAATTTTGTGTATTTGACAAAAGTTGCCTGCGCAAACTTGGAAGTTTCAAAAGTCTAAGAAAAAAAGAAATATACTAATCTCGACGGTAAACTTTTTTTTGGGAAGAGACGTGGGACTCCCCATGAAGATTCGCGGTCGTTTTGGAGGATCTTCTAGTGAAACTTTCATCGAAAAAGGGATACCCTCAGCGCAGAAATTCGGAATTTCATTTCTTCTGAACGACCTGACAATTTCCAGAAAGTTTTCAAAACTAAAAAAATTTAAGAGGAACGTTCAGTCAGAAAATCGAACAAATCGGGAAAAAATTGATATTCCATCTTCGGCGGTTGTCTTCTTAGCAACCATTGGACGTTTCTTTGATGACTCGGTTTTTTGGGGCCTGTCTCTCGGAGATAATTTTTTCGTGTATCCAAAGTATAGCTATACAGGAAAGAATCCAAAGAAATTATTTCCTTCAACAGTCCGGAATCGAACCCAGATGCTCCCCGGTCACATTCTTTAATCTCTTTAGGAAGCAAATTTTTTATCTGCAAATTCTTGCTTTCTGGACAATTGGTTTAATAAAATATGAGAAAAAGTTCGAATCAATCAGGCCTTTTAGCCGCTTTCTATACAGTCCATCCAAACATTTATCTGCAATGGAGAGGAAACTCTCAAGGCATTTGCTTCCTCACGCCGTTTTTCACTCGAGCCTATTTTTTCCTTTTATAGTTCCTTCGTCACAATCGTTTTTTCGTGATCCAAACAATGTCTGTATATTTCCCAATAGTTCAAAGTTTCCGTTTGTTTTTTGTTTTTTTGCTATAGATCTCGTTATAAAAATCAAAAAGTTTGATTTAAACGCTTATTTGGTATATGTTCAGAAACGGAAATGAGATCGAAAAAAATTCCGTTTTCAAAGTTAGAGCTCGTGAGATTTTCGTGATTTTGCGATAACGAAACGCAGTTTTTTTCAACGAAAGAAATATTTTTTTAATCAAAAAAATTTAGAATCCTAATAAGAAATGTCATTTCAATTTTCTTTTGTTAAAACTCCCAGGAATCGGGCAGAATCTTTGATGTGGTGTAAAAAAATAAAGATCCTAAAAAACATAAACCTGCTAAAACATCGAGAATCAATCTTAAAGGCATAGGAAAGAAAAAAAACAGTTTTTCAGTTCGAAGCCGTACTTTGTAGAGCTTTTCATTGTGAATCGAACGGTGATCTTGAATATTTACCGAACTCTCTAGTTTTGGAGAAAAAATCACTCAAAGTCGGAAAAAAGATAGTTTGGGTTCCCGCCCAAAGGGCGCTTGGTCGCGAAGTTGCCTTATGGACAACAAGCTTTGCAATTTTTTGGATCTTCGCTTTATGCTCCGTTTCTTATAACTTTCAATTTTTTCTGTTGTCGCCGAAGCTCTTTTCGCCGCAAAAACTTTCCGCTGATGTATGATGTGCAAACTTTGATCGAGAAATGCTTCTCTTGTAAAAAATGACCTATTCACACAGATTTCGATTGAGATATCGATGTTTTGCATTTACTTTGATATCGGTGTGTAATTTTTGTTCGCCCTAGTGATTTTTCAGAGAAAAAAGCTGGATTTGAAGCAGTTATGCGGTTATTATTAATAAAATGCGAGTCTAATACGACGTCCGCAACGTGCACCGCTACTGTGAACAGTTGTCCGTACACGGATCCAGAGCATATTTCAAAATTAAAGGCGGAAAAGTAAAATCGCGTTTTTCTTCAAAAGTAATCACATTTGTAATTTTTTGGAGTGCATCGTTCGATTTGCAAAGAAAAACTATATAAGATACAGGTTTCATCTAAAACCCCGTTTTCAATGCTCTTATGGCAAAAAAATTCGATATCTCTTGATTTTTCATTTTTGTCAAAGCTTCCCTCCTCAAAAAATTGAAGTTTGGACAGATTGATCTTTTGAACTAGTTCAAATGCTGATCAGGAAGTTTTCGGGACTACGCGCAAAATGAGATGAAACTGACTAAAAATACATACTTTCAGATGTCTTCCGAAGAGTCGGATGCCGCCTTTTTGGAATTTCAGCGACTTCAAGAAGAAGCTGAACGCCTTTATCTGCGACTCCAGGAACAGGAGGAGCTTTTTGCGAGCTCCGCGCCTTCCGCCCTTTCAGAAGCTTTGCTGGAGGACCTTCGCCAGCAGCATCACGCTGCCCTGGAGGCGGCTCTGGCCGCTGAAACGACCTCCTTTGAGGCCCTACAGCGCTGGGTCTTGGAAATCGATGATAATCTGGCGGAGGTGATTTTAATTCAGTTTTATGTGCTCAATCAAGATCATTGTCGTAAACAAAAGTGAGAAAAAATGCAGAAAAAAGTAAGTGTTTTTTGAATATTCGGCTCGGGAAAAGAATTGTGAGAGATATAGGAAATGATTGATAGAAAAGTCTGTGCGCAGGAAAGTTCAGCGAAGCTTTTGACGAGAATCTTTCAAAAACATCCTGGAAAAAAACTTGGTCAAATTTTCAGTTATACATCAACTAACAGCGCATTGGAATCACTTCGAAAATTTTCAGTCACCTCTGCTTTCTCCGCAGCATGCTGAGATTGAGGCAGAGTCGGAGGCCGAGTCGGAGGCAGAAGCCGTCGTTCCTAACAGTGTCGCCGAGTCTTCCGCTCTAGGCGATCAGGTTGTTCCAGGCTCTCCTGAGGTTCTCTTTGTAAGTTCGATCCTTTTTCCAAGAATGAATAACTTTCAGGCTTTGTTCGAAAATTGAACAAATATTTTTTCAGTGGTAACTTCGTCCTTTTTCTCGCCTTCTTCTGCTGGCTTTCCTCTTTCCTCTTTCCTTTTTTTTGTTTTTGTCTCTTTTTTGTAGTTTTTTTCTTATTTAGATAAAGATTTTATTCATTTGAATATGTTTTTCCCGCATATCTACGTGAGCAAAAATTCAGTTAAACAATTTTTTTATTCGAATTCGAAGAAAGAAGTAATCAAAAGCTTTGACATATTATAAAAAAAGTAATTGGTAAAAGTCTAGAAGAATTCAATGAAATTCCAGGCAAATTTGATAAATTCTGAAAGTTCTCCGAGAAGTGTTTGCCAGATCACAACGTTTTTTATCCAGCTTATCTCTTGAGAAATGAAGCTTTAGATTATTTTTCCTGTATTGATACTCTTTCAACGAAAGTTCTTGAAAATTATTTAACTGCATCCTGGTAGTTAAATGGTTTCGCTCGATTTCGAACGTCTTGGCAAATCCAGAAAAGATGTCAAAAATTTAAAATTCCATCCGATTCAACGTTGAAAAGAACGTGAGACCCAGGTTTCATCGTTTTCGCACCTATTTAGCACCGCTATTTAAAAGCCGTTCGAGCAACTTCACATGATACTCCAGAAGAGACGGTCGACGATTGCCCGTGGGACTTTGACCGAAGGTGCGAAGAAGGCGTCGGGCACGAGGGCGGGGAAACTGTTGCGTCTGCGGCTACCGCCCCCGACAGTTTTGTTTTCTTCCTTCTCTTCCTTTTTTCTTTTCCTTGTGCTGTGGTTCGACATTTATTTCTCAAGTGAAACTGTGGAACTTTATTCTCCTGCTGTCTTGAGTCAGCTTTAGCTAACAATTTGAACAAAATTAATTTAAAAATTTTTCTTGTTTCTGTCTTTATGGGAAGGTGAAAAAAAGTATCCGGTTTTTCTTTTTACTATAAAAAGCGTCGTAAAACACAAAAATGATCTCGTTTTTTTTGTTCAAAGTTTTTCGCCTTTGATTTGTGACGTTAAAGCTTCTTGTGAAACTATTGGAATCTATCATTGTAGTTTAAGTTCTGCGCTAAAAAAGTGTCCATTTAGTTGATATTTGCGTTTGTTCCTCTATTCCTTGTTGCGTTTCGATTCAAAATCGGAATTATTATGAAGTTTCGATGAAGTGATGCATTTCAGAATGACGAAACCACAATCTGCTTGGGATGAGGTTGCAAAGAAAGCCGCGAAATCCTACGTGCAGTTCAAAAAGTTTGAGCTCAAGTTCCGGCAAACTGATAAGCTTCGAGACAAGTTGGAAGCTAATCGCCTCAAGCGATTTTGCGAAAAAAATCAGAATGACGGTCTGAAACTGCAGCAAAGGAGAAACATGGATGAAGGATGGGTTGGTTTTTTGTGTTCTGAAGAAATTTTTTATTTTCCTTTCTTTTCGATGAAAGATAGGGGCCTTTAAGTTTTTCCAATCACAGTATCTCCGAGATATTAGGACCGGGAAGAAAGAAAAGCGGGAAAACTACAAAAAATCGCCTTGATGCAGTGATTTTTTTCTTCTTTGAATTTTTTAAATCGAGCGTTCTATTGAGAGCAGATCTGAAAACTCTGTCATATTTGCTATTTGCAGAAACTTGTAGCTCCAGAAATAATAGTTTTTCGAGTTCCGATGTTTATTTTAAATCTTTTTTTTTGTCTTGGACTCGAATTTTAGGAAAAAAAAACACATCCAAAAAGATTGATCTACCTTCTGAGAGAATAACTGTAACAGTGCAAAATGGATTGGCGTCGAAAATTGTTTTTTACAGTACCAACAGAGGGATACGAAGAAATGGGCGGACTTGTGTGTTATTGCAAGGCTACGCGTCATCCAAATGAAGGCTTATGTTGAATCGACCAAAAAGAACCTCCTTCTGGCCCACGTGAACGCTGGACGAAAACCAACGGCCTGTGAGAAGCGGACAATTCGCAACTTGTCCAGAGAGCTCGATACCGCGCATTCGACTCTCAGAACATCTCAAAAAAAGGCTAACAGATACGCCAAGGAGTTCATGGATTCGGTCACAAAACAGGTTAGTACACCGTTTTGAAATATCCATCCAATTTCATAATTTGTTCAGATTTTGGTTGAAAACGTCACTCCATGTGACGCTGACGAAAGCAGCACCAACTGCGACGAGGACATCAGTGACAAGCAAGAGATCAGTAACGACAACGACAACATCAGCCAGGGCAGCGATGACGACGATGAGAAGAACTTGAGGAGCTCCGATGAAAGCAGCAGTGCACACGAAGAAGACAGCTCTAGTGGCAAAGAAATGAATAATGCTTGTATATTTTGAATGTCCACATTTGTACAAAACTAATAACAACCTCCAATTGTTAATGAATATTATTTACAGAAGCTGTTTGAAAGTTCATTGAAAGTTCCTGATATTATTGAGCATCGACAACTGCACAATTCATCATTTGTTCTTACAAGCAAAGTGTGTCATGTGAACATCGCAGATCTGGTCTAAACTTCTGTGGTAGTTAGTCCTAGTTATAAGTACTTGAAAATAAAAAGAAACATCTGCTAAGCGCCATAGGGTATTGCGAAATATCCTATCAAAAATGTGCGTAAAATGCTCAAAAACTGATTTTCTTCGGTTTTTCAATTTCCAAAACGTCTAGTGTTGTTCACTATATCACAAGAAACACGAGAAAGAAACCTTTTCCACAAAAAAACCAAAAGAGAGTCCGTTTTGATCTTCTCTTGAACATATTAGACGTTATTTCTCAGTACATCATGGCGCTTCGCAGATTATTCTTCTTGTTTTCGAATACTCATACGTGGGGCTACCTACCATAGAAGTTCAAGCCGTGTTTGCGATGCTCACCCCACACACTTCCCTCATGAATCGTGGGATAACAGCGAAAAAAGAAAAACCAATTCAAGGACCGGATCGCCTAGCCGAAAATTTCGATATTTTGCTCAAAGTTTCACAACCAAGCGAATTCTCTGTGCGGAATCGTCACTTAGTTCAGAAAAAAAGGTTAAACGAGTTCCGCTTCCGACTCCTTCCTGAACGAAGGCGCTCCCGAGACATAACAAGAATTTTCAAAAGACTGTTGATTTTCAAAAAATCAAGACCTTTCAATGAGTTTTCAAACAGCTGTCTTATTTAATATTCATTTACAACATAGAAGTTTGATAATAGTTAGTTGTACAAGAATGGAAATTTTAAAATCTAGTTGAGCTTTATTCCTTTTCTTCGTCGCTAGAGGTTTCAGAGCCGCTTTCGTTGGAGTCGGTGCTACTTGCATTGCTGTCGCTCTTGTTCTCCTCGTCGTCGTCACTGGTTTCATCGCTGTCGCTGCTGATCTCCTCGTCATTGTCGCTAATGTTTCCGTCGTCGTCGGTGATGTCGTCGTCATTATCGTTGCAGCTTTCGTCAGCGTCATAGCTTTCGTCAGTGCGTTCTTCAGCAAAACACTGAAAGATTTTTAATTTGAATGGGAATTGCAAAACAGTATACTAACTTGCTTTTTAATACAATCCATAAGTTCATTTGCGCAAATGCTAGCATTCTGCTGAGTATTTTTAAGAGCCGACCGCGCTGAATCGACTTCTTTAGCGAGGTTGCGGGTATTTCTCTTCTTCGAGGCCGTCGGTTCAACTGCGGCGTACTTTTGAGCGAGAATCAAGTCCATTCCGGAAGATTCAACGTGGGCCTTGATTTGGATGATCCGGAGTCTAGCGATAACGAGCAGGTCCGCCCATTTTTTACAATCGACGTGTTGGTACTGTAAAACACATCTTATTTTCGAAAAAAAATCCATAAAAAAACTGCTGCGTTTTCTCAATCGAGAATTAGAATAACTGAGCGCAAAAATCAGAAACTCTTGATAATGCTCTCGGAAATTCTTTAAAGGCCTTGATGAAAGTTTTCATCAAAGAAGCTCTAATCCTAAAGTAAAAAACCAACCCATCGTTTCTTTATATTCCTTTTTTGATACAGTTTTAAGCCGTCGTTTAGATTTTCTCTGCAAATACTCCAGAGTCGGTTCGCCTCCAATTTGTCTCGCAGTCTTTGAGTTTGCCGGAACTTCAAGTCGAACTTTCTGTGCATCACGTAGGTCTTCGCAGCTTTTCGTGTAAGTTGCGCCCAAGCAATTGATAATGGTCTCATACTGAAATGAAGCACTTTTTACTGAATGACATAAAAATTTCAAAGTTCGGATAGAAACGTAACAAAAAAATAAAAAAATGAACAAAAAAATAACAGTTAAGAATTTTTCTTCGTCTTAAAGCGAAACGTGAACTTCGCTGATCCAATAGTTTTTTTGATAAAAAATAGTTCAAGGTTTTATGCAACGTGCGGAGAAAAAAAGACAGAAAAATGAACAAATCAGAAAAATCTCGTTTCTTGTTAATTTATACTTTCAATAAAAGAAATGGAAACGAAAATCATTTTTTTCACCGTTAGCTTGAGACAAAACAAAAACAAGAAAAACGTTCATATTCACTTTCGTACACATCATCATCAAAAATCGCCTCAAGGCTGTGAAATAAATTCTACAGTTTTGCGTGTACCTGGCGCAGAAAGAAATGTCAAACTTTAGCACGAGGAATAGAAAGAAGAAAAATAAAGCAGTCGACGACGAGGACCCGCATACGCAACAGTTTTCCCGCCGACGCACCCGACATCTTCTTTGTGACCTAGGTCAAAATTTTGAACATGCCACAGGGAGTCTGTTACAGCTCCTACAATTTTGCTGGACAAAAGCGTTAATCTAAAGGAAATCAGCTTTTTTTGAAGTTTCACTCGGTTTAAACATTGGCATTTTTAATTTAATTTATAGCCAAGTTCATATCGATTTACCATTTTTGATCTGGTTTTCTCCAGAAGCTCCACTAACAATTTTCACTATGTCATTTTGCTGTTTTTTTTCATTTCGAAATCCACTTGAATTCCAACGCGGCAATGTTTTTCTCGTGGTTTTTTTGTTTCAGGATAAGTTTTTTTCAATTTGACCAAAATTGAAAAAAGAAATTTTCATTTTTTTCAACGGCACACACGGAAAAAAACGATGCCAAAAAAATATATATATGGAAGCATGGACAGTCTAAATCCACATTTTAACCCGAAACAATTTCTTCAATGCAAGAACGTACAATACAATTGCAGATGACATCGTTAACGTTGCAACTCGTAGTTTACATAAATCAGCCTAAAAGGGGAAGGACTCTTGAAAAAACTTTTCAATTTTTTTTTGCAAATTAGCTTTTTCAATCGTTATAGCAATGGACTAAAATTGGCACGGTTTCATAGTTTTCACAAAATTATTTCATATGAAGCGAGAGAATTGGCAGATTATACGAAGCTGTCCTTGTCGACATCATCGTCGAGGACGATTCTGTCGGCTAACTTTTCTGTGGCGGATTGAGCGGGACCCACGGCGATCTGTCGGAATCTGAAAATCTCCCTTCATTCGCGAAAGTTTCAGCTGATCTTCGCTTGTTAAATTAATTTTTCAAGGCAATTTTCATATGATTCATAACTTGATCTTGTGAATAAAAGGCTGAAATCTTCGGTCTGAGAAAAACACTTTTCAGCTTCACTTGCTTACAAATAAAAGCATTCTGTCTCTCCAGCCACGTTCGGTTTAGATCAAACAAGTTTTGAACGTTATTATTTAAGGAAATCTCGGCAAATTTCCACTTCAGTTTCTGAAACCAAATTCACATTAATTAATTTATTTATTTTTATTAAACTCGGAATAACGTCTTTTTTGAAAGTCCCAATACAAAATGGCAAAAATATCTTTGAGAGAGACAAATTTATTTCCTACTGAACAATTTTCAATTATTAAGGGAGGTTTTCTACTTTTTTTCTTTTCTTTTTCTAGTATTACTTCAAAACGGAAAAAAAGGAACCCTCTTGGAGAAGCAAGTTCAGAACGCATCGAGGCGCGTAGCTTCTGAGCAGATCCGCGAATCGACCGCCGCAAAGCGGTTACCAAGGACTGGTCTTCAGTGTAAAGAGAGTTGTTTCTGAAAACTTTCTTTTTATTTTCAAATATCGACTTTTGTTTTTTAAAAATTTTTTAAGTATTCAGTTGAAATTTTTTTCTCAGAACCAACCTCTTTAGATCATGAAGAAGTAAATATCGTGTTATTGAAGAGTAAAAAGAAAGACAGCTTTAATAAGAATATGGCGACACAAAATGAAAAAAATTAGACACTTAAGTAGTTTGAGTAGGCTCTAAAGGAGTCATTTCCCAAGTTGTTTTCCTAGAGCTGTGGGATCTGAAGATCGCCGTGTTGATCGGCCAGCTTAGCAGAAAGGATGGATTGGCGAACCGAGTAGCGCCCGCGAGAGACGAGAAGTCGTGGGTGAATCGGTTGCCTTCGCGACGTTTTGTCTGGCAGCGAACGAAGCGGTAGTAGATCTCTGTGAACTCGTGCCGGAAGTTGGTGTTCAGGAAACCGTAGAGGAACGGGTTTACGCAGATGGAGAGCATCGAAACCATCTTGCAGGTTTGGTCGATTCGCTCGACCAGTGCCACGTAGGATTCCTGTAAGAGCAAAGTCCTTGAATTTTGATTATGTTTTTTTCTCGCAATATTCATTGATTCAAGAGCATTTTAGTCATTATTAAATTAATATCAGTTTTTTTGGATGTAAAAAGTAAGAAATTTTTTTGAAAAAAACTTCTCCGAACTGAAGCAAGAAAAAAAGGAAATTTCCAAAAATTTCATATGGATCGAAACCATTTTGACTGAATCTTATTCTCATCACTCTCAAAAATCTAATTCAAAAAGTTGAATAGATGAATATTCTTGCAGATTTTTCTGAAAAATTTTTTTTTTATTTTGAATATTCTTTTTTTGCATGTCTCCGGTCAAAAAAATATTGTTTTGAATTTAGTTCAAAGGGTTTCTTATCAAGCTTTCACATCTCTCGAAAAAAAAGTATTTCGAACTTCCTTATTTTCATGAGAATTTTGCCCCTTCATGTTTTTCGGACGTTATACTCCAAATAATACTTTTTCATATCTCGAATTTCACAAACAAATTAAAAAGGTGAACTATTCGTCATCTGTGACGTCGGATATTTTGAAAACTTTCCTGAGCTCATAATTCACAAGACACGTCACGAAAGTTCCAAAATATTTTTTGCTACCCAAAAAATATGAGAACGCTATAATTTTTGATTCCGGTTGAGGGAAGACGTCAAGGTTCTTACGTCATTGAGGAGGTCCAAATCGAGAAGGAAGGAGATGAGGGTGAAGGGCAGCCAGAGAGCCGCATAACTGCCAGCCATCGCGATGAGCAACGAAGTGGTGCGACTCGTCCGACGGTTGCTGGCTCTCTCGGCGATCGAACTTCTGATCGAAGGCATGGAGGGCGACCGCAGGTTGCTCTGCATCTTCAAGGTGCACGAAACCTGCAAAGCGTCCGTTTTAAATGCTTAAAAGTGAAATTGAGAGGGAGGGAAGTAGATAATAAGCCAAGCAAAAAACCAAAAACATGCAAAAAAGTTTGCAGATATTTTAGGAAGATCTGTCGACCGGAATTTAAGAGTTCAGAAGATTTAAATGTTTTTTCTTTCTCAATAAAACTTGGCTGAGAACAAAAAAACATTGAATTTAATGAAATTTCGTTTTTACTTCGCAAATAATTTAGTAGTGGACAAATGAAAAAGTTAGTCTCATTCAAATTATTTGGAAAAATGAAGCTTTTCTCTGAAAAATTATATTTTCACCCACACTCGGGAAAAAAACTATTGCTCTCGAAAACTCAGGTCATTTTTTCTTGGCTTCGCAGTTCATCAGAGCCAACATCCGTTAACTTTCCATTGGAAGTTAATGAAGGCGAACGTTGAACATAAAGTCAAACCTCGTTAGTCGGCCGATTGGTGTCACTTCCTTCCCGTTTCCTCTCATTTCCTCTGCTCCGACTCATTTGATTTGCGTTTGTTTTCAAAAAACGCGTCAGCTTCACGTTGAAAATTGATAGCACAAAGAGCGGCACCGCGTACAAGAACACGACTTGAAGCACCGACATCATGAACTGGAAAAAAGGTACTTTCAAAGAATATGAAAAAAAAAGTTGGAGACTTGTCCTAAGCCTTTTATCATGTGAACACCAATTTCAAACGTTCTTTGGAACAGTTTGAATTGCTTTTCATTACGATTTCAAGCTTTGTGGTAAATTTCAAATGGCTGAAAAAAGGTTTACGTGATCATTATATTGCTCCCAGCAGCGTCGAGATGTTCCTTTTTTTTAAAAATCGAGCTCAAGCGGAGCCATAAGTTTTTGTTCATTTGAAAAAAGACATAACTTTTGAAAAACATTTTTATCTTTTTTTTCAACTTTTTCAAACGACACATTTAAGCTTTTTTGTTCACTTTTTTCTGCCTTCTGATCTTTGTGTTGCTGTTAATCTCACACAATAATTTTGGGAACGTTGAAGGTTTTCCCAGCCGTGTAATTATTATCCTTCTGTTTTTCTTGACTCTGCGTGTAGCATGACTTATAAATATTGGATCTTCTGATATTTTTAACAAGTGAAAAGCAAAAGATTAAATTTAGCAAATGAAGATTAATTTAAAGATTGTAGAAACTATCTCAATCAAGGTAAACTCGCTGTTCGAATAGAAATATCGTTCAATTTTGAACTTCTTAGATTTAAAACAATCAAGAGATCTCAAAACTGCGCTTCAGGGATCAAAGCTCCTCGAATAAACCATACCGTACAAATAACCATAGCTTCAATGGATAATTTTTGTCCTGCCAAATATCAAACTGTACTTGGATTCTCTGCGTGTTGACGTCGATGATGGAAGAGCGCGTGGCGGAAAGCCGACACTGGCGCCACCCATAACTTCTCATTTTGATCCCGCCATCATCATCGAAGACAAAAATATCCTGAAAGCGTAACCCGTGATTGTCGTTGTTTCTTTTTTTAATAACGATGTTCTTAGAGTGCTCAATAATCCCTTGGAGAAGGGGCAATTCGTTTTTTGTTTGTTTTGTGTTTCTTGAGACGGACCTTCATCACGTAGAGCATCGCCGTGTCGTAATAAAGCAGCAAGGGCAACGACAGAATAAATGACAGCACCCAGATGAACACGGAGACGGCCACAGCTCGAACACATTGTTCTCGGTTCGAAGCAACTTTCAGTCGCTTCACTGAGTAGTACCTAAAAAGTTCCCAAAATTGTGATTGAAGGAGCTAACAAAGAAGGTCATTTCCTGTTGTGGTTGGGAACCTCCTGAAATTTTATTAAAAAATTTCTTTATGTGCCTGTTAATTATGCTGAAAGTTGCAACTCGCAAAACTTTCTGGTTTTGAGAGAAGACACCTCAAAGACAAAATTCCCGTCAATGTACGTTATAATAGGCCATTTTGAAGCTTCGAACCCTTGTTTCTCAGAAGATATTCAGGATCTCAATTAGGTTCATCCAGAGATATTCTGGCAAATTTTCAGAAAATATTCGACTCTAAGTAAACTTATCTACATTGTAAGGTCCGATTGATAAAACGTGAATATTGTCCCTTCCAGAGAAATATGTTTTATTCTTACAGTTTTCCAATTGAAATCGTAAAAGACATTAAAACTTCAACACTGATGGATTTTGAATGAGAAGGGCTGAAAATTATATTTTTATTGAAAAAGTTGAGCATTCCGTATCTAGAGCTACTTCAGATATGAAACTTTTCACTTGGTTTCATTATCGAATCTGATATAAACTGTGCTCCATCTGTGGGGAAACCTTTCTGATTTCAATCTTTTTCAAATTCAATGAAAAAAACAACTTTTTGTTCTTTTGATTTTGTTCGACTTTCAAAATAACCTTTTTTTCTTTTTATAAATTTTAAAAAAACACCTTGAAATTTTTTTAGATTTTTTTAAACTTTATGAAAGGTTTGCGATATTTTCGAAGGTTGAGAACTTCTCACCTGTGGAATTTTTGCAAATGAAGTTTAAAAAAACAACACAAAAAAGGCGTTTTTGGCATTTCTTTGAGATTTTTTTATAACCACTTATAAATTTATTTTTTTCTTGACAATACTTTGAGATCATGATATAATCTTCATGAACACCATCGGAAAGCTTGCCTTACCGAAAACTTTATCAAAGACTAAAAATCAAATACAACTTTTAACCCTCCAGGTGTAAACTCAATTTTTTTATCCTTCAAAATCCGATGAAATGCCACTTTCTACTTTCCAGATTATCCTTTGCTCTCAGTTTTCGATGCACTTAAGGAAATGAGGAGCTACTAACAAGAAAGGGCAAGAACGCCTTTAAACTACGCTCTCAGCCTCACCGGATGTACACACGCGACACTTCCCGGAATTTTCCCTATGATTCAGCTTATATGTCTCAAGAATTCTTTCTCATGAGGATATTCGTTAAAAATGAGCAAAAAACAAAGGAAATAGAAAAAGAAAAACGAACCTGTCAATTGCCATAACAGATATGGTAAATGTCGAGCAGTAAATATTGCTTCCTGGCAAGACATTAGCGAATTTGCAGAAAAACCTCGAATAAGGAAATTCAAAGTCTATCGAAGGGAGCCACAGGAATGGGATATTTATCAACGCTAATATCTGAAAAAAAGAACATTTGGAGAAAATCTGAAAAAAGAACTTACCAAGTTTGAAAAAGCCAGGTTTAAAATCAAAACGTTCCTATTCGTTCTCATTGTTTTCTTTCTGACCACCGCCAGAATTACCTGAAAAAAACTTTTTTTAATTTCTTGGAGCTCATAAAGGAGAAAAATTCTGATAAAGACTAAATTGAGAACAATGAAATGAAATTACTGATTTTTTTGGAAAGTCGAGATAAATTTAATTTTTTTAATTTTTATTATCAATGGTTATAAGAAAAAAAGCTTTTTTTCGTGGAAGTTGCCAAAAAAATGATCGAGGTCTAATATATCAAAATCGATTTTACTTTTATTGAAAGGAACAATTTCGTACAATTTTTTTCAAATTTCTTTTTTTATCATTTTTTTCCGCCTAAAGTTCTTCTCTGCGATTTCATAACTCTTTGAGTCTCCATAACCTTTAATACGTCTTTCATTCACTCGAAATTTCATAACCTCACGTAAACGCCATTACGTTTACTTGGCCACTGCTTGCGTTATCAAAATTTCTGTTTGAGTTCGAACATACAGCTGTTTTGACCATTTTTTTCAACTCAGTAATTCTCAAAGTGTGCTCTTTCTATCGGAATGAATCAACGCACCAATCCGTTTCCGATAACAGCCAAAACAGATATGATAATGTAGACAGTCGTGTAGAGAATTTCCTCCCACGGATTAAACCTCCGAAGAGAAGTTTGTAACCGTTGGAAAAATGTCTGGAATGTCCAAAATTAGAGTTCATCGCCTTCATTGAATGAGCAAATTTCAATAATTTTTTTCCGCATCTTACAAACAACTTGAACTTACAAACAACAAAACCCCAAGTAATTTACATACAATCATCAGTTATCGATTAATTAAAGTCTAGTTTTTGGTTTTCATGGAGTTTAGGCTCTTTAAAGAAGATATGGATTATCATCTCAATCAAGTCGGCAGATTTGAATGTTAAAAAAACGTATCAAAGTAAATTGATAGCTTATTTAGAAAAAGAATCTTAGATTACACTTCAGTGTATCTCTTGCTTCGGATTTTTTCATCCTGATTTTTGAACGAAAAAATTTTGGAGGTTCGAGATAACAGTTATTCATAGATCTGAAACAATATCTAACATTTATTTTGGGTATATAAAATTTTGTTGATTTGAGTAAGCCAGAAAAGTTTTTTATTCAAAAGTCGATAAGGTTTCCGAAGTCTACCTGGAGGCATTTATCGTTGAAAGGAGTGCTCATGTAGATCTGTTCGGAGTCATTGCGGGAGATTCCTCGAGGGCAGTACTTGTCAATGTCCTCCACATTCATTATCATACCCTGAAAACAACCAGAAATAAGAAAAACAAACCGAGAAAAATGAATGAAAAGACGTTTCTGTTACGTCGGCTCTTTTTATCGTTTTATTCATACGAGGTGCTAGAGATTTTATGTTATGTTGTATCTAGCGGAGCATGTCCAGACAGAAGCAATAAAATGGCTGAGAAAAAACAGGGATCTGATGTGCAACAAGAAATTCAACGTTTTTGAACCTTTTTCAAAAAAATAAACACAGAATTGTGTTTCGAACACTGGGGATCTTAAAATGCTTAGGTGCGTGGGAAAACCATTGCCTACTTTCTATGCAACACCTCTATTAACCAGAAAAATGTTCCGCATTGGGAATAACCAGGTTGCGACGTCTATAAGTTTACGCAAATGTACAAATCAGGTGAAAAAAGCTCCTGGCCTTATTCAATTATTTTGATTGGAAGCCAAATTTAGAGAACGAATAACGTAAATATTCAATATTATCATACTATAAACGGAACCTAACTTTACGTCAACTCTTGCTCTGGAGCAGAATACAGAGCTTCAAAGCCCACCACTACAAATTGTGGTGAAATTTGTATCCTTTTGAAAACATTTGCAGAGTTCAACGACTTTTTTCGTAGTAAAAATAGACTCGTTTGCAGGACTTCGAAAAGGAAGTAAATTGAATGAATTCGATTCATGAGGTCACCTTAAATCAGAGATTTCTCGGTATACGAAGTTATGAAAAGTCCAGAAAAAGTGTTTCTGAGTTCTGGCATAAATTGGAAACGAAGTAAAATGCCTGGCTCAGTCACAAAAATCTTATAATCTTTGGACCTCTGCAACAAGATGCTTTTCTGATCTTGAACAGCAAAGTAAAGGGGAAAAGATTCCGAAATAGCAATTGAAGTGACATTCGGACAGGCAGTTGAAGCATCGAAGTTTTTGCGCGAGACGGACGTTGTGGGATGCCTGGCCCTAGGTACGCAAATAACCTAATCGAGCTATTTTTACTTGGTCGGCGGACCACGCGCCATTTCCGATTAGTTGAGCCCGAAAAGACTGAAGATCCTAACAGAGTGATAAATGAGATAAGGCCCCCGCAGAATCATTGACCGCATTGAACAGTGAGCTTTTTTTGGAAAATGAGCCGTGAAGGTTCAATTGGAAAAAAAAAACGGTTGCTCTACAATTAAACGTCATTTTGTGGTTTTCCGAAATCTTTTTTCTGTAAATTGCACGATAAACAATGGTTGTTCACATTAAACTATAAACTTTTGACGTTTTTTTCACTAAAGATATATCTAGTTTAATTTCGGTGGTATTCCATTTGAAAAAGTTATGAGCTAAACATTTTCTGACGCTCGAAGAATTTATCGAAATCGCATTCAAATCAATTTTGAGAAACAAAGAAAAACCAAACTAACGTCTGTACAAAATGTGAAATCAAAGCAGAAAAAATTTCACTGATTCTTAATGTTTGTCCAGACCTCTTGAAAACCCCGAAAAAACGTGTGTAGCTTGAAATGAAATTTTTTTTCAACGTTCTCAGGGAAAATATCGAGAGTATCCTTCCAGGATACATCTATTTTCAGATTCTCAAGAGGGGTGGAGATTAGCCACGAGGAAATTTCTCTCCCGAAATCAAGAAGTTCTTTCTCTTGATTTTCTTGAAAAAACTTTGTTTGTTATTTAGAAATCGGCTTCCCCCAGAATTATCTTTAAAAAAAACTTTTGCCGACCATGAAACGGTCAAACTCACCCAAAATATTGTAATTATCTATTGTGCTTTTGTGTAAAGTGTTAATTTCTAAACTGAAGTTGTCATTAAAATACTTGGTTGTTAATATTTCTAGCAAAAATAATTCCCTTCCAACTAGAAACTGAAAATTCTGTCGAAAACTGAAGCTTCGAAAACTACTAATTAGGAGACTGTAACCAATACAAATTTGGGGTGTTCTTTTTTCAAAAAAAAATATTTTGGCAAAAAGTCCAGCCCTTCTTTCTTGAAATAACAATAAGAAAGGCGATAATTAGCACAGAAAGAAAACAATTAATATGCAAAACACTGAGACGACCTTGTGCCGCCAGCCTTTCAAAAAATTCACGTCTTGAGGTTCGACAAAACATTTATATAGGACAAAATTGTAAATTCTTCCCCAAAAAATAGAGCACGAAAAGCTAATTTTCCCTTCATTCAACTTTCTTTTTTGAACAAATTTATGAACTTCCGCCCGAAAGACTAATTATGAATTCACTTCCGAACGCCGTCAAAAATCCATGGGATAGTTGAATTTTCGAGCTGTTCCGCACTTCACACTTGAATGTTGCGTTCTCGCGCATGAATTATTTAGAAAAACTGAAATAAGGCATAATTGAGTGCGTAGGATACACTTTTTGGAAAAGAAAGTAAAAGCTAGCAGAACGGCGAATAAACTGTTGAGGGAAGTTATCAGAAATAATGATGAATTTCTGGGGTTCATCATTAATGCTTTCCAGCTTCTGTAAAAAGAAACCTTGACGTAATATGAGGCTACAATTTGGCTCAAGGTTGCCGCTTAGAAGTAGAAGATCATTTTCGAAATGTCAATTAGTTGAGAAGAATATTTCGTAAGAGAAAGCGGCTTGCCCTGCTTTCCCATGCAAAGATGAGAATATTTTTGTTTTGCTGATAAGAGATAACAAAGAAGCATTGTATTCAGAACCAATCAGTCTTTTCGAAAAAATAAGAATATTCGGCGAAAAATATAAGGTTTTTTTCTCTCGAAAACAACTAGAAGACGAGAAAGACTTACCTTTAAGTGACTAAATATTTGAGAGGGTTCAGTAGGCACAACTAAAGTGTCAAGTTGAGGCTCATCAACCTCGATGTTTGGTTGGCGCGAACTTCTCACAACAAATTCGGGTTCGCAAAACGTCTCAGGGCCTACTTCATGAAGGAAAAATGTTTTCTTCAGAAGTTGTGGAGCGACGAACGGTGGAATGACGTATAGAAAACAAGTGGACTTGAGCTTTCCACAGAAAAAAAGTTGATTGCAACTCGGTTGTGCCGGAAATTTAGTCAGCTTCCCATCTGTTTTTGCTCGATATATGAGAGTAGAAATTGAGAAAGCTGTAGTCTAGTGAGGAATGTATCTTGCTACAAATCTAAGGGTCATGGGTTCGAGTTTCGTATCCGAAGAAGGTTTGACTGCAAGAGAGTGGGTGGAAAAATGAAACTCCAGGTTTAAAAATTGAAATGAAAATACTTGATACTAGCAACTCAGATAAGTTTTTGAGTTGGTGAAGAACCGATTTTCGGATTTTTTCGTGTATAAACAGCAAATTTATCGAGTAATGGATCATTAACTAAGCTTAAATCTCTACAAAAACTTGAAAATAAAACTTCCATGAACTCGACGAAAAACGATAATATTAATTATATTTCTGGAGTATATAGCTTTCGGCCTAAATTTCAGCTCCAAACCTTCTTGCATAAAGAATCCATGACTAGTTCTTTCTTAAAAGTTGTCTATTAGTGATCTCTGTCATGAACCATCAAAAATGTAGACTTGGCTTATTTACAACAAAAAAAACAACAGAAAGTGAGACTATGTAGTCTAGGAAGAGATCAAACTTGAAAGGATGAGCCAAACTAATGGAATGAGATTATCATGCGAGACCGCACAATCTCTTGAATGCTCGATGTTTTCCAATGAACCTTCGTTAAAAAGATAAACACTTTGAAAAAAAAACGACACTTCCTTCAAAAAAGGTCAGTTCAGGAAATTTGAAGGAAATCAGACTTCGTTGTTCAGACCTCTCAGTTAACGCCAAGGCGCCAAAATATTTTCGAGAACACTTCGCTTTTTTTTCGGTCGTTCTTCTTCTGAACGGAATTCATTTTTCCCAAGAAAAAGCTACTGTAAAACTTTCTGAATATGCACTTTTTTCAGAGGCAGCTTACACACGACTACGTGAGAAAGTTATTTTAATGAAAACTTGAGTAATGTAAGGAAAAATGAGTTGGTGTGAGAAAAAGCAAAAATTCAACTTCCTTAGATCATTTTTTGTACAGCGGAAGAGGAAGATTTCCATAAAACAAATTGCGAGGGCGAGAAACAAGGACGTAAACATACAAACGAAGTGAGCTCGTTATGTAGCGAATCCTTAGAAATATTTTTTTTTCCACGTAATCTCATCAAGGGCTGTTGCCAAATCTTGTCGGAATTTTACGTGGATTACAAAGTAAACGTAATCTCTTGGCAACGGAGTTGGCCTCGAATCTCGCGGTTCGAAGCATGAGAGCCTCCGGACAAAGTAAAGGAGATTTCTATTCTCATGCTGAAACGTCACGGATTATAGTTGATAGCCTTCAGGACAAAAAGGATTTTCTTGGCCCTGAGATTTTAGAGACACATTGCACAATATGAAACCCTGTGAACCAGAAAAAGCTCATAGCGAGATCCAGTTTCACAGAAGTAAAGTTTCAAACACAATTACCTTCAATTTTTTTATCTTTAAAAATCAAAAATTCAAAAATAGACTGGAAGTTTTGAAGCTCTGCGGAAACTGTTAGTCAAAAGTTCTTTGCCCCTGAAAAAAATGTTTGTTTTGAAAATACAAGCGCCAGAGCATAAAAAAAGTTTTTTTGCGAACTTAGAGATTTTCAACAGTTATTGAAAAAAAGGATTTATGAGAATATTTAGAGACTTTTTAATAATATTTTCATATATGTTCAATAATATTCTTATAAATTTTTCATGTTAAAGCCTCCCATGAAAAATAAAAAAATCCTAAGGAGAACCCTTAATAAAGAAGAATTCGCGCATACAAGTGGAAGGGCGGATGTAATTTGCACTGACCTGTCTGCTCTCTAATAAATAGAATTACTCGGAATACATATCCGCCGGAAAAGCTGTTTGGACCAGAGAGCGACGTCGAAAGTTGGCAAGGAAAAGGACGAACTTGGCTCGGATGACAGCCGAACCAAAAACAAAACTTGGAATACCGTGGGAACGACGCCTTCTTCAAAATGTTTCGACAATCAGAAAAGAGGCCATGAAATATTTATAATGTTGGGAACGCCGCGACGCAATTCAACCCAAGAATAACTCCAGAAATGGAGATATTATGAAAAAAAAACGCCGTGGGATTGTTCTTTTTCTCACGCGTTAACCATGAAATCAAGAAAAAATATGGGAAGTATTCAAAAGACTGTGATTAAAAAAAATTTCTCTAAAAGCAAAGAGGCGTGAAAGCAGGTTATGATAGCTTAAACTTTGGAGTTTTCTCAAACTTGATAGAAAGCAAAATGGCTTTAAAAAAGGATGAGAGGATTTATAAAAAGGTTTTTTTTGCCTCATCTTCAAATCGTCTAGCGCGTCTGCTCAATTTTTTTTTCATATGAACACCCCAAGATGCCGAGGAGAAAAAAGAGTGGCCAGGCAAGCTAAAACATTTGGAGCCATCAGGAAAAACGGTATGAAACTTTTTCAGACCTCATGAAACATACAAAGGAAAGAAAATTCAAAAGAAGATCGAAGGGTTGTGAACTTTCAACTTTCCTTGATGAGACCGCCAGTTTGTAGGTATTTCCATTTGATCATAGCGCATGCCTCACACTTTTTTTGTAGTATTTGAAACTGAAGGAGAATTCTTGGAACTAGCAGCTATCAAAATTGAAAGTTGAAACTTCACAACTATTCGACTTTTGAAAAGCTTTGACCTTTCTCCGTGCAAAGCGGTGCCTGGGCATGTGTACCTGGAATAGTGAAGAGCCAGGTGATTCCAAAACGTTTTCTAACTACTCAGTTGTTATTCAGAAATATAAATAACTTTTATTTTGATACACACTTTCGCGTTCGTCGACCTTTAAGAAAGACCCCACGCAAGTTTAGCCAATTTACATAACCTGAGAACTTTTCGCGGGCTAGACGCCTTGGAAAGCGCAGACGGTTGGAAAACAATAGAATTTGAAATGGCGTCAAGTTCATTTCAAAACAAGATTCTCCTGCAATTAAGTTATGCTCTGGGGAAGTGCTCTTATATGTCCTTTTCAAATCTTCTCGACCTTGAAATTGAACTTTTCCGAAGTTATTATGCCTTTCTTTTTTGTCTGTTTCAGCTGCCACAGTACACCATTTCACAACATCTGCCGCAATTTGCTTCTCCTTCGCAAAATATCATTCTTTTTTGTTGAAGCTGCAAAAAATGTGGGAGAAATCAAAGCATTAGTAAGAAACAATTGAATTCAGTCTCTCATTGAATAAAAAAGAATGAGAGCGGGCGGGGGTAGGGTCTTAGTTGGAAGTTTGGACATGTTACAGAAGTTCAGCATATAGTTTTTTTATGTAGTTGAAAGAAATCCTGAAAATCTTAACCTACCGATATCCAAATTTTTGCGAAGCCAACCTCCCTTGATTTAATTTTTCAATTTCCATAGATTCCTATTCTAATATATTGCACGAAACGAGCGGTTCGACCGTTTTAAACTCAACAATCACAAAATTTTGTTTTAAGTCTTCGAACCTTTTTTCTGAAGCAGTGAAGTTTTTTTCCTCAAGGTTTTTATTGGGCTCCAAGGTTCGATCCTTCTCAAAGGCTAATTGAGAATTATTTTTAAAAAACACAATAAGAAAATCTTTTCCAGCGGGAAGATTTCCTAGAACAAATCCAGCATCAATGACTAGACAGGCCTGAGAACAAAAGATGGGATGGAAATAATGTCCGGGAGGAAATGAAAATGTGCTTGAAAAGAACTAAATATGTATTTTCTTTACAGAAAGGATTAGTAGGCTTTGACAGCGTGTCAGTTCCAGATGTCTAGCTGGAGCCTCGTTATACAATCCTTTTCAGGAATCCGAGATCCCACTTCGTACAACTTTGCATAACGATGTAAGACTTGCAAATTCGCCTTAATTGCAATGATCCTCTGAAGGTATCAGTTCACAGGTCAGCTTCTATTTTCACTCTTGAGTTCAAATCACCTGCTGGATTTTTAGAACGCAAAACCCCAGACATTTCGTCAGTTAATAAAAAATCCAAATTCAGTTTTTTTTTAACCCACGCGAATGCATCTAAACATATAGCTACAATATTAAAAACCAAATAAAAAAAGTCAGACTGCCTGAAAAAAACAACTTTCTTTGGGAAAACAACAGAATGAAACATAAAGCGAATCAAATTTTCAAAATTACCAAGTCTTCATAGTCGAAGTCGCCGAAGAACATCGACGTCATTCTACCGTGTGAGTTCTGAACTTGTAGCTTAATCCCAATCTTTTAAAACCCGGGAAAATGAAACAAAAACGAGGGGGGAACGTAACAAAAAGGGATTGATAACACGAAAATTAGGCGAGGTTTGAAACGAAGGCCCGCGAGATTCGATGGAGCAAAAGCAACGTGTGACTCGTATGTTTTGGAGAATAATATGAGGAGCCGTATAGAAGGAACTAATAAATGCAAACGTTTCATTTGCATGCATCCTTAATTTTTGGAGAGACAAGTGACAACGTGGGCCGATGGACTGTTTATGAAATCGGCGTTCGATTCCTGGAACAACTAGGCTCAAAAGAATCTTTCAGTTTATTGTAATGAGAAAATGGCAAAAACTCACCAAGTACTGAAAGAATTTTAATGAAATGTCTCTTTGGGACTTTGAGAGGTCCTTGAGCGCGAATCGGGTAAATGAGATCTCTGTTGGCGAGCTCGGGATCGTAGTACTAAGGGATTAGAAAAAGTGAAACTTTAATGGAAGCTGAGGAGGGGCCGTTGTTTCTAGTTATTTTCGGGATCACTCTTAGAGAAACTTCTTGATCTGCACTGAAACTTATCAGTCAGAGAAACTATGAAATTTTCTATAATTCAAACTAAATGGAAAAAAAGAGGAAGTTGCTTAAAAAAGGGAGATAAATTGAACTCATGATTTTTTCTTACATTTGACGGAGCATAGAAAAGTTGATAAAGTATTGTATTCTTTTTCAATAATTTTTTCATCAATTTTAATCAATTCCTCATCAAAAAAGCAGCTCCAACATCTTATAACCGCCGACTTACATCATGCCGGAGTTGCACTTAAGAAAACTTCGAAAAAGAAATGATGACAAGAGTTCGAAGCAGACTTAAAAGCAGGCATTTTCTACGAAATCCACAAATTTTGGCAACCGCACCTGAGAAAACAAACTGATTATTGAGATTGATAAGTCATAAAATAAAATAAAACTATAATACGCATCAAGATTATGAGATGGCTCAGATAGTAAACAAACGAAAAAAAATGGTTAACTTGATGTGAAATGAATCATGACGTGAAAAAGTAGTTCTTTGGGCTTTTTTGAAGAAAAAGTTTAGACTTTGTTTTCGTGAGAGGACGAGGGGTTGGTTGAGAAGTTTTGAAACTTCAAATTGAAACTTTGAATGTTTTCGTAACTGGAGATGAAAAATCAAATGTAACCTTCAATCAAATTTTAAGGTTCAAAATGTATTTCTAAAAATCCAAGTAACTGCCCAGAAAGATTTTTCATTATAATAAGAAAACTATACGAATAGAGTCGCCTTTCTTAAATTCTGCCATGAGCTGACTAATGGACAAATCTTTTTCTATGCCTCACCTGACACGCAGGTAAAATACGTGACATTTACCCATAATACAAATGGTGATAGTCTAGATGCCATAAGGAAAGAGTGCAAGTTAATCTTCAAAACTATTCGGCTTCGCAGGAAAATTGAAATAATTGCTCTTTTTTGAGTTCTTCATAGCTCATTCCATCACATTATCCTCCTAGGTGGCATTACAAACAGATCTCCTACGTCAAAAAAAAAGAACTTATTTTCCGCTAGGCTTGGCAACACTTTTGGAAAACATACATCCGCCTTTTTTCATGCTTTGAAGGATTTCTGAACGCTTGCTAAAATAGAACTTATTCTTTGAACAACATAATACCAATTGTCGTTCACTTCATTTCCAAACTAAAACATTAACCACCGTCGCTAGAAATAAACCGAAAATAACCTTATTCGAAATGAGAGTTTCAAAAATAGGCTGGCTGCTTGTTATGGCAAAGCTTGATGTTGCGAAAAGCTCCGAAAAAGTCCAAATGAAAATAACTTCTTTTTTGCAGCTGCTTCTGAATGATTCAGCGTGAGGTGAGAAGTATTATCCCATACTTATCTAGAGTTTGGGAAAATGATGGCTTCTATCACGATTATAAAAGTCTAGGTTCAGAAATCAAAACGGCTGGTCTTTTCCTGATAGATTTTCAAAGATTTTCATTTTTTTTTTGGTCTCTTTTTTCAAGATGAAGGCGGTCAACTTTGAGTGAATTTTGTGCAAAAAAATATCAGAGAACGGGTAAAAGATGTCAGTAAAAAAATATTTTTTTATTTTCAAAACGTCAAAATTAACAAAAATCGTTTCCTCATTAAAAAAACAGATTTTTTTCGATCCGCTTTTCAGAAAAAAGAATCTGCTTCATAATTACGAAAAAAAGTCGCTGGAATTTTTTTACTGTGTATAGCGCGTAAAATTGTAATAAATTTTGACCCAACGGATTCACACAAACCAGCGGTGAAGAGTAATGAAAAAAAGCAGTAATTAGTAGAATACGCAGCTGATTTAAAAATGAATTTTAATAATTAAAAAGGTCAACTTTGAAATGACTAAGAGTATTGACTAGAAAGATCAGAATGGTTTAAAGAGCTTTTAATCTACCTTTTTATGTTTCGGCAAGATCAAAAAAGGTATGAGACGATTGAAAACTAGAGAAAAAGCTTGCTAGTTAGTCTTGAGGCGTTTCCAGCCATCAACGATAGCGAAAAAGCAGAAATGATTGCAGCCACTTAACCCAAAAAAACTGAAGAAAAAGCAGGAAGCGGCGGCTGAGTGCGACTCGACATTGAGGTTAATAAGATATAGCCATGCTTCTGCAGATTGGCCTTATTTGAAAAATGAAACATGTGAGCTTTTTAATAACCGGGTGGAAAAAGTTTTTTTCTTTTTTCAAAAGGAAAAAGGAACGAATAGGCTCACTGCTTTTAGGCGGCTTCAACCTAAATGTTACCATGATTGAATTAACAAGCTTTTTCTGGCTTATAGGACACCGAGTCTTTCGGACGTTTCTATTGATTGGCCAAATTATTAGAGAAAAAGTTCTCTTAAAGCGTGTTTGAAGGAAAAAGTCTTGAAATTTACCAAAGTTAAAAATACGCTTTTTGAGCTTTCTTAATAGTTTTATTGCGTATAATTGATTCATCTTATCGATGATTCAAATCTGATCCAAATAAAATCTTTTTCTGAAAGATTAAGTTCTTTTGCATTTTTTCTTGTTCACGAAATACACTCAAAGCTGAACTCTAAATTCAAGTCCATTTTTTTTCTCCGTGATTGTTGATTTCGAGCATAGATGAAGATGAACTTGAAAATAGTTTTCAGACTTTTCTGGTCTTTTGAAAATAGTCGGAAATAAAAATTTTATGAATAAGTTTTCAGGACCAGAATAGTTTTTTTGTAAATTGCAAAAACCGAAAAGTTGGATTCTTTTTTCTTTCTCAGAGCTCAATGAGCTCTCCCCGTTTACGTATCAAACTGTAGATTGGTCAATATTGGTTCACCTTTTTTCCATCGAGAACTTAAGATGACAAGATTTTTTTCCTTTTGAGGGAACTGCGGTTGATATTCAAAATGAAAAGACTGACTTGAAGCAAAGACTAACAAAACAATCAAATACTAATGGGAAACCTCATTTTCGAGTTCCAAGAACAAAGAGGAATGTAGTCAAAACAATCCGTGTCAAAATTCAATCACAAACTTGAGAAGATCAACTGGAAATAAAAATTTATAACTTTTTTTAATTGAACATCAACTCAACGGACGACTTTTTTTAGCCAAGTTTCTGGAGAAAAAAAGTGTTCTAAAAAGACAAAAAAATCTCGTTTTCTAACTGTCAAATGCAGCCATTAGACGGAGCAAAAAAATTTTGATAGTTGAGATGTGTGAGAAGAAATAAAATTTCCCTTTTTTTTCAAAGACAGCAATAACTCAACTAAGAAAAATGGGAAAATATGTGGATGCGCCTTTAATAAATCTAGGAAAATATCAGGACAAGGATCTAATTTTTGCGCAGAACCCGTGTGTCAATCATTACGAAAGGAGTTATTTCATATGAGATCAAAAGTATGATGACAAGGAAGCTACAATTATTCTTGAGATCGTTTTCTCAAAAACTAATCTTAGCCCTACAAAGCCATTCGCGTAATGAAAAAGCTCAAAATTTGATCATTTTTTTCTCAATAAAAATGAAGCTTTATTTTTTCCGTATCTCGCTTTTTTTGGGAAATGAAAAACTGAAGACGTGGGGATAGAAAAATTTAGAAAAAAACATGCAAATTGAGATATGAAGTGTTTTTTTGCGGAACTAGTTTGCTACCAAAAATCTCCCAGTCTCAAAAAGTTTTCATCTTCAGCTTCGTTATCGCAGAAAATACTTCAAAACAAACTTTTCAAATTATTTCTGAGTTTTTTCATAACTTTTTCTTTGAAATAAAACTGTGTATTCAGTTATTCACAGCTTTCTAAAATGTTAAGAATTTTAATGGTTCTCTCTGAAAAATGAAATTTATGGACTTATGTCGTTTCAGTTTGGCTCTTCCCGAAATCATGAAAAGTTCAAATAAACTTTGATTTTTTGAACTCATTTTCGATTCATCATTTCTGACCTAAAGTGAATAATTCGCTAATCTTGCTTTTAAGAAATTTCTAAAGGTACATCAAGGAAAAATAAGAAAAGGAAAAACCAGCCACTCCCACGCCATTGTTATTGAAGGCGTTCGATCCAAGTATCAACAAGGCGAGGATTTCATCAAAAACACAAGAAATAATAGTCTCACGATCACAACACACTTAAAAAAATGAGAAAAAAATTATTTGTGAGGTATAATTTGGTTCGGAAGCTCGGAAGAAACATAAAAGCAAGCCCTATTAAAATGCAAAAAACCGCTGGAAAAAATTTTTCGACGCTCTTTTTGTTCAATCTTATTTCTTCATAAGGAAGAAGGCAATCAGGATTTGCGGAAGGGAATGCTGAAGGGAAACCGCATCTCGTGATGTTTAGCCCGTCACAATACGTACCCCATCATCTGCTGCTGATAGTAATTGCAGGAAAAAATTTTGAGCACGCAATTTGCACAGGAAATTAGTTCATTGCTCTTTTCCTTTTAGCATATAGGCGGCAAAAAGTTGGAAA